ATGATAAGAATTCTGTTTATGTTTAGCCTTCATTGTTTTATGTTCAGGGGCGTATATTTTTCTAAGGTAAAATTGTTACAATTATTATTAAAGATTGCTCATTATTTATTACCTGTTAAAATATGTATATATTGTCGTGACTGCCCAGATATTGCAAAAACAACTCCTTTGTTTCACATTTAACTTGTTTTATCATGATTACGTTGTTCGAAAAACAAATAATAAAGCATTTCTTGTGCTCACTTTATGTCATACGCATATAAGAGCCTTGTTGAATTTACTAACATTTTCGCCCGTGAGGAATGAATCTGTAAAAAGAATAATTAAATACAAAAAAAGAATTGCTAAAACAGATCTTCCGAAATCTCAACTCATAGCTGGATTGCCTCCCGTATCGGACTGCAGTACCTTACCTATTATTATTATTATTATTATTATTATTGTTGTTGTTGTTATTATTATTCCCTTCCGGCCCTGCCAGCTAACTAACACCACTTCAGTTTTACTTGTAAGTGTGTATGTCTAATTCAAGTGAGGTGACATTTAGTGACACATTAAATGAGTCAAGTCTTATTTATCATTAGCAAAGGATCCTAATTTATGCCTTTTGTTGTCGGTTGTTTTGTATTTATATTTGGGTAGTTAGAGCAAAGATCGTGGGTTTCTCTGCCATGCTCTTTCTCCATAGGAGCTCTAGGTGAGCCTGGCACTCTCATTTTATGTTAAATGGTTGTTAATGTTTTTGTTGTTCATTCTATTTGTCACATGTTTAATTTGAAGACTGTTGTACGTAAATAATAAAGTTAGGTGTATTTACTCTGCTTTTGTTTTATAAAATTAAACCATACTTCTCCACTCTAAAGTTAGTAGCCAGCGCCTTTCCGTTAATTAAAAATAGATGTATACAACGTAGGTATTCCTCATGACGATCACATATTTTTTGGCCACAACTACGTTTATATCTTTGTTTTATCGAACTCAGGGTTGTTATACTACAGTTTTTTGTAAAAAACTTGTACCAATCGGTTATATCATAAAAAAAAGAAAAACTGTAGTAAAATGGATGCAGAAACCTTATACTGGAATTTCAAATAAATATTCAAAGCCAGATCAAAACTTCCATTTTTTCACCTTTCACCTAATTATCACATATTCTAATAGTACCAATTACGCGGGAGTGAAGTTCTGATTTTTATGATGTTTACTTGAGTATCCAAGTAGCGAAAACAGCTATAAAAATTCGGCGCAGCTAATGAAACAACTAAACCACAGTATAACATAGGTATTAAATAATTTTAAAAAAAAGTAAGTAAAGAAAATTAAACCACAGATATTTTATTTTCATTTTGGTGTGAAATTATTCTGTGACTTGTATATGAATTTTTTGTGAATTAATATTGTACACCACGATTAACTTTATCAAAAAAAAAACATCGACATCTAATAAATGTTCTATTTCAAACCGATTAAAAATACTGAAGTGTATGTAAAAGGATGTCTTTATAAATGCATACATTTGTAAAGCAAATTGACTCATTCATTTACTTCATTCAAAGTTAATTTAATACTGAATAATATTATCAAGTTTATTGTAGTAAAACGATTGCATGTAACATATCGTGTTTATCTTTTATTTCAGTTACTCTTCGTGACTGATTTTTGAAATGGTCGTTAAAAACCCGACATTCATTTTGGTGTTGGCTAACATTCTGAAAGTTATATTTTGTCAATATTTGTGCATTTAATCAGTTGCATCTTGTTTGACAAGAATGACGCTAGTTTTTAGCTGTATTCATTAAAATGAGGGCAGTATGAGCCCATTAAACCAATTTTCTTTGTGTTTGAATTCCCAATATTATGCCTGTTACGATTCGATAATAGTTAAATAATAGATTAAGAAAGAATATAGAAATTTGTAGTTGGTTTAGTTGGATGGGTCAAATAACAAGAATAAACTTGTTAAATGATAGTGATGTAAAATGGCAACTATTGCTCCTCGATGTTGTGGCCTTCTACTTACAGTACTATATAGGAAAATATAAGAGCATGTATGTGTATGTGCATAAATTTTCAGGTAGAAGAGGAACGGTTTTATAAACAATCGAAAAACTTATTAGGGGATCTGTTTCAGCAATTAGTGGAAGCGCTGCCAGTGCTACGTCTATTGGAAGAAAATATGTTGATTAGTCCTCCAGAAGTTGTGAATTTTAGAACGTAATAGGTTGTGTTTACAAAGCAAGGAATTTTTAGTATCAGTAATAGTCACAGTTGAAATCAAGAAAATCCAGACGTTTTCCGACCACTTCAATCACAACGAAAATTTCCAATAAATCTTTGGACTGTATAGTAATATGTACCTATATTAATATACGAATAATACTTAGGTCAAATTTTGCTTTAACATCTGTTATGATAATATGTATGTAATTGTCAAGTGAGGTTTAGTTAGGTCGAATTCAGATGCAGATACTTGTATGGGTGCGAGGAGTCTCTTACATTCAAAAGCAGAGATGGTGTGTATGCAGCATGGGGAAGATAGATAATCGTCATTTTTATAAATATTTTACCTTGTGCTTCTAGACATTGAAATTTAAATTAATTGTACCGCATGTAGGTACACGCAAAATATGATTTGGAGTATTTGGACAAACGGGAAGACACGTTACACAAAATTGTCTGTGACATGAAGAAAACAACATGGAAAAATCAATAGTTGTATATCATTCAAAGAGTATTTTGGACAAGACTCTGCAGGTAAATGACAGAAATCTGAATGAATCGAAATAATTTTCAAAAATCAAAGACCAAACGATATAGACCAATGACTACAAACCGTGTACCGAAACGCCATCGGTCAGCAAACACAGTCATACAGGGTGATTGTAAGTAATTGCGAAATATTTTAGGGAGTGGTTACCGAAGTTATTTTGTGAAAAAAAAAAAATATATAAACGTTGGTTGAAATATGTTTCCGAGATAGTAAGTGTATAAATTTTAATTTTTTATTTATTTTTATTATTTATAATTATTTCAGTTTTAAAAATATTGACACGAAATTTGAAAAACGCTTTGGAGTGATCCGAATATATCTACTTGCACCAGTGACGTTCGTGCGAGAATGTCACAACCCTTTTTAATAAAAAAAGTGGTACTTTACTAACATATTAATATTTTTTTAGAAATCCACCATCAATTCTGAATGAAATTGATCTTCTCAATTTTTTTCGTAGGATGGAATTGAGGAAAAAAAATAAAACATATGTTATTGCAAGTTGTGTATTTTTCATTTCAATTCAGTCATTATCCAGTAAGTTGCTGTCAATATTTCTAAATAAAATACAATCATCAAATTTCGAGTCAATATCTTTAAAATTCTGAAATAATTAATAAAAATAAATAAAAAAATAAAATTTAAACACTCTGTATCTCGAAAACGAAGCATATTTCGACCTAAGTTTATATGAACTTTTTTTCACAAAATAAGTTCGGCAACCACCTCTTAAAATATATCGCAATTATTTACAAACACCCTGTATGTAAATACCAGCTAGAGGACTTCACTCCAATTTCAAAATTTCTTCTGAAGAAAGAGAAGTCTGTTAAAACGTTAAGGAGTTTAAACCAACGCACAGTGGGAATAGGGTTGTTGACCAAAAAATAGATAATATAATTCTATACGTACCAACTAGTGCGTATACACAATTAGAGAATGAAAAATCCGTAAGAACAGTTTTAAAATAATTATTTGAAACTGATTTTTTATAACATTTCAAAACGGCTGTGACGTCATAAGCGGCACCTTGTAGTGAAATTATGTGTAAATGCTTGCGTAAAGAAAAAAATTGGAAGACGCTATGTCAACATTGTCAGTAGTGTCATAAATAAATTCATAAATGATTTCTACCACTAACTTGTCATATATTTAAAATTTAACTATACAGGCAGCTTCTTTTATATGTATAATATCTTTGACTCAACAAAAATTTTTATGTGGTTTGTTTTTATAGTGAACAACCCTGTTATTGGAACACATTCTACGCATCAGCATTAACACCAAAGATAATAATTCGGTATTTAAAAACAAAAAAATACAAAATTTCGTGTCTGAGGTTGATTAAATAACGAATATAATCATGCAGCTTCACAATACTTTTCATCCTTAAACCTGAACCCAAAAACATAACACAAATTTATCAAACCTAACCTCAAAGTAATACACTGACTTTCTAAATCTGTGGGTATAATTACTTGAAAACTATACTTTTGACCTCATAGGGTAATGTTGTATAAGAGTACGCACTTAGTGAAAATTCTAAAATAATTTCTCAGTTTTAGGCGAAGTGTAAATTTTTAAAATTTTATAATATAAAGTAGTCACAGCCAAACATGTTTTAAACATGTTATGCTACGCATGCTAATGTATAAGAGTACGCACTATATCTTTCTCTAAAATATGGTTGCACGTCATGTTATATTTGATTGTTTACTAATAAAATGAAAAGATTTCATATAGAAAACGTAAGTTTATTGAAAGTAATACAAAATTAAAAAATATTCCTTAAACGAAAATGAAAAACGTAGTATCTGCTTAAAGTCGTCACTCTGAACAATTAAAACAAACAAAGTCCCCCAATACATATGTGGTGCAAGATTCATGCCACCAACTGTTACACCAAGAACACATAATCCATTCATCATCAAAAGATTCTGAGTACAATTCTCCACATCCTGGGCAACGTTCATCCTTTTCGACACCTTTATTAATTTTCTTTTTTAACATTTTTGTTTTCTGAGATTTTGAGCCAGTAACAACTAGTTTTCTCTTTGCTGCTTCAATTTTTTTTCTTCCTTTCCTTTCTTAATACCGGCAAGTTCTTCTAGTTCATCCTTGATTTAGAGCGATTTGATTTTTCTTTTATTTGCGGCAAAGGTAAAAAAGCTGGGATCGACCGATTTAAAGCCTCTTTCTCAAAAGTAGACGAATTCTTTGATATAAGTACCCCTTTTTCACAGACTATATCAAGGCTGGCAATATCCAGCGGTGGAGGTGTTGCATGTATCGGAATACTCGTGGAAGGTTGGGGATCATCTATTTCCACCACGACTTCATCATTGAGCTGGCCATTCTCTGTATAATTGGGTGCGTCTGTCGTATTAATGGGTGCGTCTGGCGTAGTGATGAGTGCGTCTGTCACACAGGAAGGGGCAAAATCATCATCGTTAAACTGATCCGGATTATAGGGATATATTCCGGAAGCTCTGAATGAGTTTTCTGATTTTCCAATATTGGCGACGCTGGTGTAAGCTTGGTTAAATAGTCCGGCAACTTGCATCTGCGTTATTACCTTTCCAGGGTTACTTACCATCCACTTATCACATTCTCTACTGTAAGCACACTTTAATGGGCCAAAGAAACCAACATCCAGCGGTTGCATCTTGTGGGTTGCATGAGGTGGTAGGGAGAGTAAATCAATATGGTTATCCCTGCAGAAGTTTATTGCATCTAGATCACGGTGAGAGGAATGGTTGTCGAGGATCAACAGTACTTGATTTTCGGCACTAGGTTTGCTGTAGCTCTTGAAATGCCGCAACCACTGACAAAATAATTCTTTGTTTATAAACCCAGAGTCCGATATCATTTTACAGGTACCAGTAGGTGCATTTAAAAAGAGCTCATCTTTCATCCTTTTTCTGGGAAGTATCATAGCCGGAGGAATATATGTCCCCGTAACGCTAAAACAACATACCGCTGTAACGAGCTGTCCCCGATCTGCACTAGCTACTTTTCCGACCAGTTTTTTGCCTTTGCTGGATAAAACCTTTGGTAATTTATTAGGTACTGTGGATACCCCTGTTTCGTCCATGTTGTATATTGAATTTGGTAGGTAGTTTCTTTTTTCATAAAGGGTCTTAAGATTTTTAAAAAACCGATCTACCTGGCTTTTATTGAAACCCATTATTCGACCCATTGAACATTTTTCTGGCTGCCGAAGTACTATTTTGTGTCTTTGACAAAACCCTTTTACCCACGACTCACCTGCCATTTTTTTAATATTGCTGAACCTGTGCTGAAGTTTGTTAGCTTCGGCAAACTTATAAGCCGCTATTTTCAAATCTTTCTTGGTAATCCCATAAAATCTAAGATCCAGGTCCCTTACTTGTTGGGCTAAATCAGCCTCCATATCTAAAGGTATATCAGTTTTGAATCGTCCTAAGGAGCTGGGGATGGTTCCTGCTTTTAACCGTTTTCTTAGTGTTGTTTCATTTATTCCCATTTCCCTGGCTATACTTCTTTTACTAAAACCATCTGCAATTTTTTGCCTAATCTCTTCCATATTGCCTTCGGTGAAAACTAGCTTCCGCTCACTTTTTCTTTTGTGACGGCTCATATTTCAAATTTGTTAAACTGAAAAAAAAAACGTTGATTTCTATGCTATATTCACTAGAGCTTTATTACTTATAAGAGTACGCACTGCAAAGTCTAAGAGCACGCACGGCGTATTCTTATGCATTGCTTACTGCGTACTCTTGTGCATATGTTGATAATTTTAGATTTTGCTTAATATCTTCATTATTAACCTACTTCTTGATAAATTTTAGCCACACAAACAACAACAATATTTAAAAAAAAACATACAATAACGTTTACTAACCTGTAACGTTCGAAGGTACCTCACAAAATACTAATTATCAAGCACTAACAATTAGATCGCCAACCCATGCAAACACTTCTCGGCCATTTTTAAAACAGGTGTGTCGATAATGTAGATTTCTATTTTTGTATCCAGTGTCGTATGCTATTTGGAACATAACTGACTGCATAGACAATTTAATAGATGGCGATATGTATTAAAAATAAGCGTGCGTACTCTTATACTCATGCGTACTCTTATACAACATTACCCTAGACGGTGGCTAGTGTGTGGTGGAAATCCAACTAATGTAATGAAATTCTCTCTACATAAATTTACCACTTCCAAAGTAAGGTGACTTGCATGGTTGTCCATAAGTAACAGAATTCTGTTGTCCTCGCTAGGCCTTGTGTATCGAATGAAGTGTTCTAAATATTTAATGAAGTTATCAGAAGTCATCCAGCCGGATTCATGAGCCACACCGACAAAATCACTGGGGGCGTTCTTCATATAAGCTGGTTGCATTCTAATTCTCGGGAAAATTAAAAAAGGAGGCACAAAGTTCCCGCTTGCATTCATACTGCAGACAGCAGTAACATTGGTTCCTCGTTCAGCAGATGAAATTTTNTATTACTTATAAGAGTACGCACTGCAAAGTCTAAGAGCACGCACGGCGTATTCTTATGCATTGCTTACTGCGTACTCTTGTGCATATGTTGGTAATTTTAGATTTTGCTTAATATCTTCATTATTAACCTACTTCTTGCTAAATTTTAGCCACACAAACAACAACACATACAATAACGTTTACTAACCTGTAACGTTCGCAGGTACCTCACAAAATAGTAATTATCAAGCACCAACAATTAGATCGCCAACCCATGCAAACACTTTTCGGCCATTTTTAAAACAGGTGTGTCGATAATGTAGATTTCTATTTTTGTATCCACTGTCGTATGCTATTGGGAACATAACTAAACATAGACAATTTAATAGATGGCGATATGTATTAATAATAATAGTAATGTAATGTAATGTAATGTAATGTAATGTAATAGATGGCGATATGTATTAAAAATAAGCGTGCGTACTCTTATACTCATGCGTACTCTTATACAACATTACCCTATTTCCTAACAATAAAGCCATAAACCTACACTCATAAAAACCTCATCTCAAACCCTTCAAAACCTAATCTCAAACCTCCAAAATCCAACTTCAAATTATAAAAAGTTGAGTTGGAAATTCATAGAATGTACATGTTCTACACCAAAAAATAAAAGTCCTTGAAAACTATTTTCTGGAACTTATATTTTTTATTTATAACCCCTATTCTTAAATATCTAATGTCAAATCCAAGAAATCTGAGCCAGAAAGTCAAACGAAGGATACTTTCCAAATCAAAGAATGTAACTCCTTGAAAACTCTGTTTTGGAGCTGATATTTTGTACTTATGAACCCTCAAACCTATGCTATATGTCCATAATAACCTAANTTTGCTTATATCGTCCGGCATTCGATGGAAAAACCTAAAAGTCACAAAAATTGCGTTAAAATATAACTATGCGCGTTAAAATATAACTATGCAACAGTCAACCAATTTTACCTTATCAGGATAATTTCTTAAATATCTGCGAAGTGTTGGCTCTGGAAGATTATATTTTTTTGCAGTGGCATTAACGGACACATCATTGTTTTGTATTTCGTTTATAGCATTCTCCATACTTTCTTTGCTCCATGTTTGTCTGGCAGTTTTCCGAGCATAAACTCGACCCATCTTATAACCTAGACCACCAAACAATATTTGATTAATTAAAGTATTTGTTTCGAGTGTTGGGGTAAGATGACGAAGTTCGTCATCTTAGTCACTTTGTTGTTCGTCAACTTACCTCCAAACGACATTCGTAAACTTTTGTAAAATATTTATAAAAGGACATGCAAGCCAGTACTATTTGACCACAATATATTTAGAAGACCCTTTTCCAGAAACCCAAGACCTCTGAACAACGGTTTAATACTCACCAGTCAAAATTTATTCCTTATTTCGGTTACCCCAGAAATTATAACATCACGCACCAATATCACTTATCAGCGTCTAACCTCAAACTGCGCCACTTTGCCGCCGAGATTTCGAAGCTACCATACTGCGCAAGTCCGTAAGGGTGAAGCGTGGCGGTTTCTCGATTTTAAAACGTTTAATTTAGTAGCAATGTGCAATTCGTCACCTTACCTACTTCGTCATCTTAGGGCTCTTTCCCCTACTATTTAAGACTTACGTGGTATATACAAATAATAACAGACATGCAACATACTATGTGGGAAATATAGTTACGTAACACTTCATACAGCCATGGTATATACCAATGGGATATCCTGAACACCTACCATTGTATACATACATATACACGGTTCTGAATTTCACATAATCCATCTGCCTTTACGTGAGATTGACAAAGTAAGTCATAGAAATCAGTGCGATAGACAAGGACGGCTATAGTGAAAGTGTTTCAATATGTAAATAGTTACGGCCCACTCTGAACCAGCATTGGTTAAAATGGAAATATAAGGGCCAATAGGAGAGATCTCGCATCCTATTGGCCCGCACCTTTAAAATTTTATAAGCTTTCGCTATAGCCGTCCTTGTCTCTCGCACAGATTTCTATACTTCACTTTGTCGCTCTCATGTAAAGGCAGATGGACCATCATTCGTTGCCAGACGTGTGTACCATATGGGAAAAATGAAAGCTGGTGCCAAAAAATTTCCTCTTGCGCTCATAGAAGCCACAATAGTAACATTTAGTTCCTTTTCTGCACTCGTTAGCCCACCAACCTGCTTCTTGCCCTTCTGCGCGAGAACTTTTGATAACTTCTGGACGGTCGTCACACCAGTTTCGTCCACATTCCAAATGCGATTTGGAGTAAGTTTATATTTCACATAAATATTTTCAAGATTCTTGAAAAAACTTCGAACTACTTGTTTATTGAAACCTGTAGCTCTGGCATAGGATGTGGCTTCCGGTTTCCTCAAGGAAATATTTGTATGCCTACGTAAAAATCCGTAAATCCACTTCTTTGAAGCCATTTTAGTCTCTTTATTGAAATTATTGGCAATATTATTGACACTGGCGAAATCAAATGCTAACTTGCGAAGTTCTGTATAAGTGATGCCAAAAAACCGCTTTTCCATCTCGAGAATGTACTCCATAATTTCTAGCTCTTGTTCCTCCGAGAAGACCTGTCGAAATCGTCCACGATATTTTTCATCTTCTTTCACAATTTTGTTTTTATTTGTGATTCTTCTCTCCAGTGTACTTTTCGGCACATTGTATCTGTCTGCAGCCTGTCGAATAGATAACTCATGGTCTCTAACTTTCCGAACAGCCTCAAGCATGTCTTGAGTCGACCATTTTCCACAATCGGTTTTTCTTTTGTAATAACAATCTACTTTAGGCATCTGTAATTCAGAGACAAAAAGAAAACCTTTCTCACTGTATTGTAAAAAACAGTTTCTCAAGGTGGGACGTCCCAACTTGGGAATCGCTACCATGTCCCATCTTAAGAAATGTAGCCGTTTATAAACGTGACATAACCTTGCCACGACCTTACCCAAGGTCGCTCCTTGACCGATGTCTAAACAGTAGAGTGTAAGATTTTCTACCTCAGCTATCTGTAGATGGTAGGTTGTTTGGCCAAGTCAATGGAGATGGGGGGGGAGGGGGTTGATTGGAGTAGATAGTAGTATCTAGATAACTCGGTTGTTAAGGGCGCCAGACAAATTTTCCACCACCAATCACCTACTATAATTCCTACTACTTGATCAAGAAAACTTGTCAAACAAGATCAAACAACACACTCAATGACAAACATGATTTATTAATCCGCACTCTATTTAAGATTAGAACATAAGAAAACAGAAAATATAGATTGTCACTGTTGCCGTTGATAGAGCTAGTTCGCAATAGATAGTAATATAAATAAGGAAAAGGAAAAAAATTAAGGGCCTAAGGTTAAAGATGGGATTAGGCGAATAAAATAAACAATATGTCGTCAAGCGTCGCGTGAGCTCAGGCGCAGCACCGGCTTCGTATAAGCCCCGATAATGCAAGATAAATTCTTGCAAAAAAAAAATAAAATTTTCCTTTGGTCCACCTCGTGGGGATCTAATTATGACTAAAAGCCGCTAATCATGTAGTAGCTTGAACAAGGGAATAATTACCAGTATGGCAGTAGTGAACAATTTATATATCTTTAGACAAAAAAAAATTAAATGCTCTATATGAAAAATACTGATGGAATATCAATCAGAACATGTAAGTTCACAACTCCCACTTCTAAGTTTAGACGTAAACTTAATAATATAAAAACAAAACCCTAATGAATATTACCTTTGCCCACTTAACCTATTGTTAATTACTTCTATTTATAAAATAAATCTTAATAATAATGCTATACTAATTATTAACGTGTGTAGGAACAGCAGGAGAAAAAAATTACTTTTTTTATCACTTGCGTGCGTCCCCGTGGATGACACATCTGCAGATCCAGAGATCTTTCATAAGGTTTACTTCGCCGGATTAGATATCTTTCATAAGGTTTACTTCGCCGGAGTAGAGATCTTTCATAAGGTTTACTTCGCCGGACTAGCCCAACATAAGAACCCCTTGGCCAAAGGGGTTCTTAAATTTATTTGAACTGCACAGGAACTTTTCTTTCCCAAAATTACGCGAATCCGGCCTTATATAAATGAAAAACGTGAGGTGGGACCACGCTCTTGGCTGCTTGGTGTGACGATACAGATCCTTTACAAGAAAGATTGGCGATTAGTTCCACAAAAATTACTCAACATGCGACGGACCACAATCAACATCAGGCGTTTGGAAAACAAATATCGTCAAGAGCTGATTTCAAAAATCACAAAAGTTTTCCCAACACTACGACACACCCAATCCACACAGCCAGGTACCGGAAGTAATAAAGTGTAAAATTTGCGCGGATCCCCTCCTGAGTTTAAGCTATCAAAAAAAACTATCCCTGACCCATTGGTTGGAGTCTGACCAATTAAAATTAAGTAAACTATAGTAAACAATTATTAACCCTAAAATCAAATCTAATATGATTTATAACACATTGATTAAGTTCCTTGAACATAAATAAGTAGCTAAATATATCATTCCGGTGTATATTTATTAGAAATACCTTGATGTAGAAAAGTGGTAACATGAAAGATTCAGCGCATAATCGGGCAACAACGCACCGCGCAGAATCAGCACTGAATTCGGCAGGTAGGTAGGTGGAGTTTCAGCCGGAAGACAAAGAACGAAAAGAATCGAAATGGTCAAATGTCGACACAAATTCCCATCTTTAGGAAATAATCCACACAATGCCAATCGTTCATCTACGAATCTACAAAAATATGGTAAGTACCAAACAAATGACTTAATGTTCTTAACTAACTTTGTCTATCCTGTGTATAGTCTATCGATAATCTACTAAGTATTAGTTGCTTGTTTACATTTTAGGTTATTAGTATGATTGAATGTTTATTTCTATTCTAGGAGCTAGGCATGCACTTGGGTGGATCTAATACGATTTCTCCCTAGGATCTCACGGCCGGCGACAGTTGTGGATGAATAAATATTATTTACTAGACCTGGATACGAACGCATTAAGGTAACGATAATAATTGTTTTGGTGGCTAAAAATTTAGACCTTGAATATATTTTAGGTAATACACAATACACAACCTTGTAATTAAGGTGACAGGACCCACAACGGTTCCTGTGAAATAACCTGCATTTGAAATGAATTACAAAGAGAAAATATAATGTAATACCCCATTAATAAGGAATAAATGCAATGTGATATTTATTTATTTACTTTTATTGCGATTAACGTAAATTGCCTGTTACAACCTACAAAGTTCATCACATGATATGTTCGAACAAATTTATGCGAAAGTATTCGCTAACGTCTATTCTAAAAGGCTGTGAGAGAAAGAGGAACATAACTTACATTATCGATATTATTCCAGCTTTTGTTTTTCGGGAAATATTTTAATAATACTGCACAAATCACCAAAACACCTGTACTGTACGCGGCGATTATTGGATTGGACTCAATTTCATAGGCAACATGCATGCTTTTGCGAAGTTGACTAATCAGTATTTAGATGGAGCTACAAGGCTAAATTTCCAATTTATCAACGTGTCCCTTCTTCGAATACTGTCCCAACTTGGGTTACTCTCCCCTACTTTTTACGTTAATATAAGATCTTTTAAATACATTATAAAATAAACAACCTGGGTACATCGAGACCCCTCACACACGGATATTCCTAACCACCGTACCACAAGACTTTTACTGCTATTAATAGAACAGCGGTTTTAAATGAGTGCTTGCGATGTGGTCTTTCATAGCACTTCCATTTAAAACACCGTTCGATCAAAGGTAGTAAAAATTGGTTGCGGTATGGCAATAAAAAATATTAGTGTGTGAAGAGTCTAAAAAACAAACAGCATACAATATTATAATCTAAAATCATAAATGATTTAAGTTTATAATGTAAAAATTATAATCTCAGAACTGGCCTACAGTTATTTGATAGATATTTGTACGATTTTTGAAATTATATAATTTAAAAATTGTTAATAAATTTTGGTATTTATTTTTCAATCAAAAAATTATATCCCTATTTTAAATCTCCTGTAATACACATATTTTCTCATTTTGTTTTAGATTATTAAAAATACTTTGTATCATTTTAAGAAACTATTTCATTACAACTTACCTCAGATTTATAGAACTAAAATAAATGCTAATCATTTAAGTATTACGACAGCACAGCTAATATAATCAATCAATACTATAGGCAAATCGCAAATTCAACGTATGCACGGCACTAACTCGATAAAATTTATATGAAATAATTCATAATAGCAACATAGGTAATTTTCAATATCTTATCGTATTAAAAGTTAATTAGGGCATCAGTTGTATATGTTACAGTGGCTGTCGATATAATGTATGAGTATATCCTTAATTTAAAAGAAACTAATTTGATTGCCAGATGACGTGCATAATGTTGAATTAGCAATTTGACTATATCAATCAAGTATTGAGAATGACTAAACTATAGTCATTTAAATTTTAACAAATAAAAGCATGTTTTGGTTTGAAAAATATTTATTGCATTTTCGCATTATATACATATACAGATATAATTTCATCATCCTGAAAAAAAGAGAAAAAAAACTTTGTTAATCTTGGGCAATTTCTTTAAAATTTTATAAACAAATGAGATGAATTGTAATTTTTATTATCCTAAATAGTTATTATATAAAAAAAGGAACCAATAACACCTGGCTAGTTACTTTATAATTATTGAACTATGAATTAAGTTTTTTAGAAATTATAAATCCATTTAACCGCTAATTAAAAAAAAAATTAAATTACGCAAGAGCTGCACTTCGCGATATTGCCGCACATGTCGGGTAATATCGCGCACCATGTGGGGTAATATTGCGCAGTTTAATAAAGAAAATATGGAAAGAAATTTTAAAATAAACGCAAAAAATTGGAAAAATAAGTCTTGTTACCAAAGTTATACATCGGATATTCTGTTATCTAAACTCTAAACTAAAATAAACGACGTTTTGATTCTTCTTTTTGTTTTTGATCGGCGCCTAGGCTAAACCGACAATCATCGCATGTGTACCCTGCAGCTGATTCCCAACCAGAACATTCTGAATGAACCCATATTGCACATCTTATGCAACGAAACCAAAGCTCCCTATGCTTTCCAAATTCACCACTTAAAATACATATTTCGTTGACTACAGGAGGCTCTTCGTGAAGTGCAAATTCATTGTAGTCCGAATTGTTGTCATCAGAGAAATATACTGTGAAGGATCAATCAGAATTATTATCCGACGTGTCTCCTTTTTTAGTGTATTTTATTTTCTTTTTGCTTCTTCTCTGTACCTTTATGAGGTTTTTGTTTTGTTTTCCATTTTTCTGGTTTCGCTTAGCTTCTTTTTCCACGAGAGTAACCTTCATTGGTGTGGAAGTCCAAATTTCAGATTGTTTGATCGTGATGTTTTTCTTTTGGTCGCTGCCTTAACTACGTTCTTGGGAATCGGTGCAAGATCCGATATTTTGACACCTGAACATGATGGTAAATTTGCTTTGGATGTCGATGGTATAGGTTCTTGAATAGTTAAGACGTTGATGGAGCCGATTCCGGAGCAACTGCAGAAGTTGAAGGTTTTACTTTCAAAGCATCTATAGCTGTTGATGCTATCTGTGGAGAAACTGGATTAAAGTTTCTCTCCCGTTCTTCTGGGTCCAAGACAAGTTCTCGAAATTCTTCAGCTGCTGCGAAATCCTCTTCAGTAAACTTTTCTGGGTTGAAAGGGAATATCCCTGCAGCTTTGAATCCTGAGACACCCTTTTCCATAGTTGCTACCTTCATGTATGCTTGATTGAATAAACGAGCCCATTCATACGAGTCTTTCATGATTTTATAACCCTCTTCATACATCGGTTGCGCCTGGTACAAATTAAAATGCTGACCTACATGACATGTCAAATCATACTTCATCTGTTCTAACTCTCCTCTTTTTGGTATATCTGGTGTTGCAACCTGATTGATGATAAAATGGGGTGTTATCCTTCTTGCTGTTGTTGGTTTTGTTCGTGTAACAGTGTTGAATCTCTTAGGATCCTTAAAAAGGCCATCCCAATCTTGATTTCTAGACTAAAAAGAAAAAAAACAAACAAACCAATAGGAAAAATATAGAATAAACTTACAATTTTCTTGTTTCCATCTATTCTTTTCAAAGAAAAATGGCATGCACTAGATTAATTAAATTCTAAGGATAACAATAAACAAAGCCCCACGGTAAAGTGTCAGTTGATATAAAATTCACAATTCTTTTATCATCGTGTGGACTCAGTGCTTTTTTCCGTTGTTTTACAGTAAAAATCTCGTGTTTGTTTGATAATATCGAATTTTGGTAAATTTCAAATTCGCTTTTGTCAAATAAACAATTGAAATAGTCTTCGAATTTAATTAATTTTAAAGCTGACGACTGTATTCCTTTAGCCTTTTTTATAATCCCATAATTTTCTACAAAATTCTCCACGTGGTTAAAACTAAAATTATTTTTTACTAATTTTTCCACCTCTTCTTTCTGTTGGCTTTCCTGAGTTTGTAATTTCAGTGCATACATTTTTGACCGTAAACCTATAAACTCTAACATTAGTCTACCGTTGTTTTCATCCTTCATTAAGCCTAAAACTTTTTTATTGACTTGAGGAATTTTATAAACATTATCGATGCATACTCTGACGTATCAAATTTGTGTATGTCTATTTTCATATGTTCATAGATATCATCCACAAAGAAATGATATATCAAACTATCTGTATCGCAGTACAAAAGTTTTGCATCTTCCCCAAATTTCATTTTAATGTAATTATAGTGGAAATCGTATAAGTATGTTTTAGAAATGTCCAGAATAGAAAAGCCCATATAGATGGGTTTGTTAAATTTTACCTTTAATCGTTGCATCTCAATTATCACCATGTCATCATCAAAAACAGTGCAGCTATGAAAATTTGGTTGAGATATATAATACTTTGCACCAAACCTACCCTCCCAATTGGTGACTAATTTAACATCTCTGTATTTTTTTACATTTTCAATTGTTTTTCCAAATGGACTATTGTTCATTAATTTAAAAAAGTTTTTCTCAAAATCATTTTTGCTGTTTTTCCTCATTTCAGTATTTAAATCTATATATTTTTTCAAGCACGGCGACTGTCTAAATTTCAAACACCGATGAATTTTCTTTATTTTTAAACCTAGTTCCACAGCCTGCTTTAAATTTTTATAGTGAATTACATACTTTGATTTGTTATACAGGGTTGTCAATAGTTTAGGTAGATTTGATATAGAAGTCGGAGGTGCCAAGTGTTCAGGACAAAGGGGTAAATCTTTGTGGAGATTAAATAAATTTTGAGGATAATGAAGGTCTACTTCAAGTATATATCCATAATCACTATCGTCAGGTGTGTTTAAAAAATTTTCGCTATACATATCTATATTGTTTACCCAGTGAAATTCTCCAATAGGTAATGGATGACACATTGCTGCTCCATAAAGATTATTAACATCAAAATACATCAGATATGATGATGCCTCATCTGTATTATATTTTTCCCCCATATATTTATTATTAGCCTTTCCATACCTATTCGAGCACTGGGAAATACCTCCTCGTATTCCTTTCTCAATAAACAAAATCATGTCAATATCTTGCAATAGTTCCAATTTTACCTTGGTAGTTTTAAGCAATGCATCAAAAGCTAAGCCCGGTGCTGTATAGTAATGAAGGCTGTCTAGTTGATACGTTTTTAAACAAACCTCACGAAAGTTCTCAAATATGTCTACTAGAAGCAGTACATCAGTGGTCAAATAAAGTTCAGCATATTCCTGTAAATTTTTAATATTGAAACTATTCCAAACCTTGTATGCATGCTGATAATCCTTTTCTGATATTTCTAAATTTTTTACTTTGCTGTAAAAGTGTTCCTTAGAAGGCAGACATGTTTCCTGTAATTTTTCCCAACTGTTAAGATATTCATATGGAAAGACACCTTTTCTTGTAACTAATTTAAATTTTTCATAATCACAATAGAACTTTCTAGTAACTTTTTTTTGATCATCATTCAAATATGAAGAAAGTTTATCTAGGCTACTACTCATAAATCTAAAGGAATCCAAAAATCTAAAGGTAATGTTTGTATTTGTAATGTGTTTGGAAAAT